TTAATGCATAGTTTTCAAACATTTACCCTTGAAACATTATACTTTTGAGTTTCAGAATTCTTGATTATGAATATCAGTCAAAATAGAAAAATGGATTCCCATGATGAACGTTTACGGACCCCAACATTAGTTACCGTGGTTTGCCATTGGGTAATCCGACGGAACCGAAAAACAGTAACCCTGAATTTCCGAAATCCTCAGGCCTGCTACTGAATTATTTACATTTTTGCAGCATTTGTTTATAATTGTATGTATATGTTGTTGTTTGTGTTATTATCATATGCAATTGAATAAGTAAACCATTTCAGAATTCGAAATTTGGGACTCTTTAAATGCATAATGGGGCTCATACTTTTCTGATCAGCGAGTCCCTGGGACTCGCTGGTGGTAAACTGTAAAATTATCACTGTCATATACTGTAAATGTATCCAAAACATTAAAAATACTATAATTCAACCTGCATTCCAAGCTGTGGCTGAGAAAAAAAAAGGTAACTCATGCTGATATTTGGCGTTGTGTGTGAGTCACAGTTGACTTACTTGCAACAAATACATTCATAAAAGCATTGTTGATATATTAATTTTTAAAAAAAAGACTACATTCAGTCACCACAGATGACGGGTTATAATTTAGAATTACATCGTAAATTCTGAAGTTGGCCTCGTTTTTGCCTTAAAACCTCTTAAAATGCAATTTCATTACCATGATAAGGGACATAAATTGTGTACAGTAATAAATGTCTCGCTAATGTGGACGCGCAAAGAAGTCAAAATCAAAATCCACGATGGATGTGCTCGGGAAATGAATGTGGTGTCAGTGCTTGTATTGTTTCCTGTCACATTCTGAATGTGGCTCAAAGGGAAGATGAGGCAGTTGGAGGCCCAGGGGCTAGCTCTTCATGAAAAGTTTATAAAACTGTTCAAGACAAGTTCCATGTCTCCTGTGGCCCTGGTAGACAAACAGAGAGAGAGACGTGATGTTACCATGTGTGTCACACCATCAGCAGCGGCTTAAGACAGACAAAGTATCAAACCTACACGTCACTGAAGACAGCTGGGTCTGGACTAAAATCGACTGCAGACGAATTGGAGGTTTCCATTTGCTCTCGTGTGATGGCTTCTTGAGGTGTGAACTGCTGGAACTGAGGCCTGATAAAACACAAGGAAAAAAAAAAATCATGAAGCTTCCATCAAGTACGAGCCTTCAAGTTCCAACAGTCCAAAAGTTGTACGGGTTGCGGTCCCACCAAATGCTGATGAAAAATGCATCTTTGTGTTCAAACAATTTTGGAGTTGAAAAACCTTCAGCATATATCTCATCAAATCACAATACAGTGAAACTCCTCTAGAACGCAACCTACATGGGCGAAAATACCCCCTAATGTGAAAAAATCTTCATGCATTAACACCATTCCCATTCTACTGCCCCCCATACGACGAAAAACCCCCTGTTGCGTTACACGAAATCATTTTCTCTGCTCCAGCCTCGCGAAGACATTCACTACAATGAAGTCTAATCCAACAGCGACCTCTATTCGCAATTTCTTTCCCTTTTTTTCTTTCTACACTGACAATATGAAGTGTCAAATAAGTGTGTGCTCATACTTATGCACTATTGGAATAAAAATAGAGTACACATACGTGTGTGTGTGTGTGTGTGTGTGTGTGTGTGTGTGCTTACATCTGAGCTCAAATTCGCTACAGTGAAAAACCCCCTGTTGTGAAAAATTTCTTGCTGCAAACATGATTTCGCTGTAGAGGAGTTTCACTGTACCAAAATTCTGACTTGCGTACACTAAACCTGCATAAAATATCTTGATAGTGAAAACGTATAGCATCAGTCGAGGCAGCGGAATCATAAATGAAAAGAATTTTAGATGTTGGGAATGAAAGAAAATGATATCATCTGCCTCCTCTCAATGTGGAGGAGCAGCGTCTCGACTCTGAGCTCCTCCTGAATGGGAAACCCTGCGAGGCATTCGGGATCTTGTTCTTTTGGTCATGACGCACAGCTCGTGACCATCGGTGAGGGGAGGAACGTGGCTTAATCGGTAAATTGAGAGCTTCACCTTTTGATTCAGCTGCCTCTTCACAATGACATTCTCTGACAAAAAGTTGGCATCTCTGCAGACGCTGCACCGATCCGGCTGTCGATCTCTTGTTCCATTCTCCCCTCACTCATGAACAAGAGCCCAAGATACTTGAACTCCCCCATTTGGGGCAGGACCTCATACACAACCTGGAGAGTGCACTTCACCCTTTTCTGACTTAAAGACCATCTTCTCAGATTTGGAGGTGCTGATTTTCATTCCAACTGCTTCACAAACCACTCCAGTGAGAGTACCACAAGAGATGCAAAAAAACAGAAATGCTTCCAAACCAGACCCTCTCAATGCCTTGGCTGCGCCTAGAAATTCTGTCTATAAAGGTGATGAACTGAACTGATGACAAAGGGCAGAGTCCAACTCTCACCGGAAACAAATGGGACTGATTGCTGGCAATGGGGACCAAACAGTCAAACTGGTCGTGCAAGAATCAAACAGCCTGTATCCTGGAGTTTAGTGCACCATATTTCTGAAGGACTCTCCACACAACACCCCGAGGGACATGGTCGAACAAGGCGCCTTCTCCAAGTGCACAAAACACATGTAGACTGGTTGTGCAAACTCCATTGCATGCTGGAGGATTCTGCCGAGGCTATAAAGCTGGTCCATTGCTAAACCCACACCGTTGCTCCTTAATTTGAGATTGGAATTCCTGATGGACCATCCTCTGCATTACCCCAGAAAAAACCTGAGCAGGAAGGCTGCGATCCCCCGTGGTTGGAACACACCCTGCGGTCCCCCTTCTCAAAAAGAGGGAGTAACACCCCAGTCTACCAATACAGAGGCACGGTCCCTGATGTCCATGTGATGTTGCAGTGACGTGTCAACCAGGACAGCCCCACAACAGAATCTTTAGGAATTCTGGCCTGATTTCACACACCACCAGAGCCCAGCCACTGACGCGCTTTTTAGCCACCTTGGGGACCTCAATCGCAGAGATTGGAGAGCCTGCCTCAGAGATCCCAGCCTCTGCTTCCTCATGGCAAGGCTTGTAGGTGGAATTGAGGCGGCCTTTGATGTAGTCTCTCCATGGACTCGCAACGCCCCAACCCTAAGGTCAACAGGACCCCATTCCCATTGTTGATGGTGGATGCAGTGCTTCCCCATCCTCGGACGCTGGCCGGTGGATCAGAAGTTCCTCAGAGCCATTTGCAAGTCATTTTCTTTGGCCTCGTCAAACTCCTTCCACGGCCCATTTTTTGCCAGTACCATCAGTTTCCTCCAGAGTCCTACAAGCCCAAAAGGCCCAACAGGACTCCTTCTTCAGCCTTGATGGCATCCCTCATCACTGGTGCCCAACCACAGGTTCGAGGGTTGCCACTATGACAGACAGCGACCAACTTACAGGCACAGCTCCTGTCAGCCACTTCAACAATGGTGGCGCGGGCGGACCATGGTCCACTTGGACTCAATAGCTCTTCCCTGGGACGTTTGTGAAGTTTTGGGAGTTCAAACTCCTTCTGGTAGGGTATTCAGCCAGACATCACAACACGTTTTAAGGTCTACCAGGTGGGACCGGCATCTTGCCTCACAACTGGAGCCAACACACCACCAGGTTAAAGGGATGTCCATGTTTCGGACATCGCAATGATGTAAAAATTGAAGAAAATGCCAAAGATTGTTTTTCACAGGACAGCAATGAAATACTCCATATATTTCAAAACAAAAAACTAAAACTAACACAAAAACTATGAAAAACCCAACTAAAACGAAGTATTAAAAAAAACAAACTACAAAGTAATACAAACTAACAAACCTGCTTAAAAAATTACTTAAGTTAAAAAACAGAAGTCAAAGTGAAATAAAAACTAACTACAATGAAAAATCCCAAACTATTATAACCCCGGGTGGGATTGGTTTTTGAATGGTTATCATTTGATGGACACAAAATGACAGTGAGTGAGCAGAACTTACAGGGGGTACCCAACAGAATTGTGGGAGCTTTCGGCGTGATGCGTCAAATTCGGGACACACGGGGCAACTGAGCCAGCATCCCTGCACAACACATACGGCATGATGTCATCCATTAATTACTCAATGACTCTAAAGTTGAGGATTTTCAGGGTTTGGGTGACATTTCAGGATGAACCTCAAATGCACTCTAACCTTTACAGGTGAATTTAATTAGCCCCTCGTAAACCATTGAATGCACATGTCCAACTGTACAATGTTTCTCTATTTTTTTAGACAACTGGCTGTTATGTAACAAGGAGCTGAATGGGAAAACTCACAAGAGGTCTTTTACAGAGATGGACGCCTCAGTAAATTATCCGTCTGTCATTCGCCATCGGCCGGGCCACACATCTGTCATCGTCATTCCATCGTTTTTTCCAAGCCGAACTAAAACTGTAATCGCCAGTCAAGGCAATGCGTTGTCGTTATTTTAACCGCACTTCTCTCGTGGGAAAATGACAATTCATTATTGCTATTCTAGGACCATCAGAACTTTTTTTTTTTTCCCTTACCGTCCGGTCTTCTTATTCTTCGGCGGCATTGGATCAGCGAAAGTACTATGAGGTCACACGCAGGTGCGGCACAAAGCAAATGCACAGCCAACTTTTTTTTGTTTGATCTTTTTTTTCATTTAACGTTGATATAATTTTATTTGGTTTTATACGCGTTGTAATCTCCCTGGTGTGAATTTGGTGAAGTTGTATACCTTTTCTATATTTTAATTTTCTAAATGTTTTGTAAAAAAAAAAAAAAAAAAAGGTCGCATAGCCAAATAATACCCCCCCCCAAAAAGACGCGCACACACACACACACACACACACACACACACACACACACACACACACACACACACACAGAGCATGGTGACTGGTGAAATAAAAAACAATATTGGACAATGTCTGCGGCCGGAAGAGGATACAAAGACATAATCGACATGCATTACCGCATTTGGACGCTCTGGTCCAAATCTCTACCTTGAGTCAAAATTCATACCCGATTTTGAATATAGTGTCTCGAACGAGCACCACAATTAATCAACAGTACCTCGCCATCAAACAGGATGTTCTCAGAGGCAAGTTGCCACTGACCTGAGAGTGTCACAATTGTCATCAGCAGATTGTTAAACACTGGTCACAGATAGGCATAAAAGTAGACATGCTTGGAAACGTAGTCAAACAACTACTGTGAATCTTGCCATTCAGCTCCTCGTGACAGAACAGCTTTGAGTGAAATATCAAAAGTCGGGCTTGTGCATTCCAAAGTTTAGAGAAGGTCAAATTAAGTTCACCCATAAAGGTTCGAGTGTGTTTTTGGCATTATCCTGAAATTTCGCTTAAAAGCTGAATATCCCTAACTTTCTATGAGTACGGTATGTTGGTTTGGATACCAGAATTCAGGGCTTTGTTTGCCACAGATGTCCAAAGACACTGAATGGATCAATCATGACCTACACTGGATAACTGGCAGCATTGTGGAGGCTTTCAGTCCGATGCGCCACACTGGCACTATTAGCTGCAACTGAACCGGTCTCCCTACAAAACAAAAAAAAAAAAAAAAAAGATTGCGAGAGACACACAAACACACAGATAATATCTAAGAATTACATGAACTAATCGAGACAGAGAGCATTGAGGCTGGGCACTTTCTTACATGCCCACTTTAGTATGGAGTGACACCGGGATGTAGCCACCACTGGAGGACGTTTGGGGCTCTACAAAAAAAAAAAAAAAATAATAAATAAATAAATAAATTAAAAGATGATATTCATTCATCAGTGTTCACTAAATACATTTACAAAAAAACATGTGACGAGATGAGGTCATTACCTGAATAGTACTTTTTGAAAACGTCATGTTTTGGAAAGTCAGGGTAGAGGGATGTGATTTCATTGATGTCTCTGATGCGGTCGCCGAGGCTCCGGATGTCCAGATCTCTCTTGGTGAAGGGCTGGATGTTCTTGATGATTTGTTTGTGTTCACCCACTAGGGAAAGCAAAGTTAAATGATTTCAACGCTGATAAATAACATCAAGTTGCAAGTTGGGGAGGGGGGGGGGGGGTCAACCCTTTTGGAATGACCGGGATTTGAACACAATGTTTTTACGGAACACAACATGGAAACGGCACAGTGCAGGGTGCAGTAAGTAAATGAACTTTTGGAATTAATAACTGCTTGGTCCTCTTTCGGCAGCAATAACCGCAACCAAATATTTATCACTGCAGATTGGAGCTGCACAATGGTCAGGACAAATTTTGGACCATTCCTCTTTCCAAAACGGTTTTAAATCAGTCAAAGCCTCGGCATGTCTGGTGTGAATCGCTTTCTTGAGGTCATGCAAGTCCCGAAGGCGTGAAAAAAAACATGTAAGGGACTTCTGGTGGCACCCAAACAAGATCTCCTTGTAATTGCGAGCTCCTGACTACCGGTTTGAATAAACTACTACCAATTAAGGCAAATCATTGATGAATATGAAAGGAGGGAAAGAACATCGGAGCCATAAGGGTACAAAGAAATCAAGCCAGATGGGTGAAAACTGAACTCTGCGGTGACGACAAAGAGGCTAATGAAGCTAATTCGGCTGAAGCTAACGTGGCTACTCAAGACATAATGCTACAAAGCTTCTCGCTTCTTGCCTTGGAGTTTAAAGACTTCAAAGCCGACTTGAAATAAAACCTCGTTGATGAAGACTGATGTTAATTAGGCAATTGAAGGACAACTTTGTCTCAATTAAGAATGAGGTTTTGAGAAAACTGCAGAGGCATAACGCTAACATCGTCTAGCTTGAGCTGGCATGCAAAGTAATGGACACGCTGCTGGCGATGTTGAAAGAGAAGGCTGGCATGCAAAAGAAATGTGCTGATTTGGAAGGCCGCTTGCGAAGGAGCAACCTTCAAAATCATGGTGTGCCATAATAAGGCTGACGGAACATTGGTGATGTGATTGATTTTGTGAGTGCTTTGCTGAAACATCTCGTGCCACCGAACGGAATAGCCTAGCAGGCGCTAGATGCATCAACAGCTTCTAAATCAATTGTCATCAACTTCCTGCAGTTCTATTTTATTGGGCAAGTCAACCTCAACATTTTCTTGACAATAATATGTTCTCAGCGCCTTCACTCGTCTAAACACTGCATTTTGATTCATAATACGTTAGTGGAATATGAGTTCAGTTTATTTTGAACAGAAAAAGACATTTTTCTGAATTTGCAGACTAAAATCAATTCATGAATTAGAATAGAATAAGACATTATTAGAAAAACTACAATCAGATTTTCTCCATGTTATTTCAGAAAACTTTTTCAACGAGGAGATGTCATCCTCTTCCGCTTTTCTTGTCCTCCTCTGGTCAATGAGCAATACATAAGTGATGAAAGTGTTTTATTTCTCTATAATATTGTGTGTTTTCACTTGTTTATAAACGGCATTGTATTTATTTTTAACCACACTTTGGTTAAAAAAGGGCTAAATATAACTTAATTTTGGAACTGGAACGGATTCAGCGCATTTCCATTCACTTCAATGGGAAATATTACCTTGATTTATGAAGTTTCAATTTACAAATGGGCTAACAGAACCAAGTACGTTCAGAACTAGATGTTGACTGTGTCAATAAAAAGCCAACATTTGTCTTTGTAGAGGTTAAGTATTTGAAACATGATCACAGTCTTTACTTACTCTCCGATGCAGCCACGTAAGCTATGGTGATGCCTCCGATCTCAGAGTCGCTAAAGCGCAGCAAAAAAGTTCCGTTGGGCCTCTCTTTGAGAATCAGGTGTAGATGTTGCTTGCCAATGAAACCAAATATGAGCCTTGTAAAGAAAAGCACAGTGTGTTAATTTTAACTAATGGCGTGTTAATTGTTACTCCAAGAAGAAGAAGGGTCTTCACACCCATCACTCCAGTATGTCCTGAGGTGTTTTTTGGTCAGGTCCATCACTCCCTCAAACCACTGCCAGAAAGTAAACAGTCGACCAGGGAGCACTTCCTGTAAGATTGACATTGTCACATTTTCAATAGTATCAATAGTATCTATCAGATTGTGTGTGTGTGTGTGTGTGTGTGTGTGTGTGTGTGTGTGTGTGTGTGTGTGTGTGTGTGTGTGTGTGAGAGCACAGATATGGCGAAGAGTGGGTGGAACATATCAGATTGTGTGTGTGTGTGTGTGTGTGTGTGTGTGTGTGTGTGTGTGTGTGTGTGTGTGTGTGTGTGTGAGCACAGTCATGACGAGGAATGGGTGGCACAAAAAGGATTGCACATACAAAAACAAGGGCAAAGTTGACTGAGAACGCAAACAGATATGAAAGCTGATCTACTCACCGGGTGCGCCCACGATTGCACGGAACCAAATGAATTATTCTGGGACAGGTATATTCAAATAGGCCAATCACATGGCACATGCTTGACTCCTCAAACCTGAGAAATCAGTCTTCAAATAGCCTTTCCAGAGGCAGGTGCAAACTGGTACGCGCAGCAAGTGCCTGCATAGCGCAGTCAATATGAGAGGCAGCAAGGATAACGTTTCTGTTTGTGTTTGTTGAGGAATTTATCCCTTATTGTCATTTACTACCTCCTTTGTCGAATCCCCGCTGCATGTTTAAACCTCTTTGAAATGCCAGAAACAAAAATTATTGTGACGGTAATGCAATTTTGGAGCTTCTGAATGATTGACTTGGAGCCAGTCATAAAAAAAAAAAAAAAAAAAAGCCACGCCATATCACCTGACAAAACAACTTTCAACTTTGCATTTCCATGCAGCTAGGTCATTTGAAATCAGCACACCGTCCGAGTGGACCAGCGAAGACTTTGAGATGATATATTTTCATGGCTCAAAAGAGTAGGGATGTGTGGGGATTAGGATTTTAGATGTAGAGGTATATGATTGACAGATGACAGAAGAACGTGGCGTGGTTTCAGTGCAATCAGCAGACACACCGACAGTGTTTGGGAGGGGAGACAAAGGCTTGGATTTTCAGCCTCATTTCATATGTTCACTTTCTTTAATCATTCAAATTTAGCAGGGTTGTCAACAACACCCCTCTGGTATGTCAAAATGACAGGCCATTTATTTTCACTTTACAGGTTCTTAAGTTCAACTTTGAAATGTTTTGTGAATAACAGGTTTATCCGCTATGTTCTGTTAACACTGCAAATCTAAATGGCCGATCAAAAACACCTGTTGTCTTTTTAGTATTTAGCTGCTCTTCAAAACAAATACAGTAACTAAACTGAGACATCGCTGTTTCCTCTGACTATTATTACAATTGTGATAGCAAGTGTGAGCGTGTGTTCTTTCATTAGTGATGTGTGGTAGCTGAGTATATGATCATACAATCTCTGTCATATCATTTTGTCTGTGTGCGAATGCGTGCGTGGGCCCGCACCTTATTGAACTGAGCCCAGGAAACCATCATGTTGCTGAAGTCATCGGTGAAGTCTGGTTTGTCAAATATCTTCTGGGCCAGGAAGTGTTGATTGTAGTGGTCGAGGTTGTGATGCGTCTGGACCTCCGAGGTGAATTTACTGTTGAGAGTGTTGCACATGAGCTTCCAGGGCACACGCTCC